AAAAAAAAAAAAAGTTCAGCTCCTTGCGTGTAAGACGCAGGGTCCTTTTATATCATTTTGTGACGTCACACTCCTGCATTGGTGTCTTCATGTCAGCGCGGAGCTCTTTCTCATTATTTTTGATAACTGCATTCCACTGGGTGTTTGTACCATAACTCACGTAGTCTGACCCCTGTTATGGACTTTTTTAGCTTATTTCCAATTTTTCCCCATCAGAAATGGTTGCAATGATGTCCTTGTATTCCTGTGTCAACATGAGCAGAAGGGATGGGTGGAATAGTAGGATAGGTGTGTTTATAAAGTGGCGATTGGTTCTGCCAAGCTGTTCCACATTTACACTCCCTTCAGCAGCACCCCTTTTTACACATCTTTGCTCCAGCACTTATCACATGCGGAGGTGTGACTTCTCCTATGAGATGCTTTGAGGCCCGAACTGTGTCAGATTTTTCTGATGAACTCTGAACGCCTTTTCTCCAAATAACAGTACAGCTGCTCCGGGCACAGGAGCTGTGGCGCAGTCAGGGCTCAGCAAGTGCGTGTGGCATGGCAGCCCCTCGCAAGGTCCTGCTGGGAGGCACCCAAAGATTGGAGCAGGGAGGTGGCGAAGCTTCGGTCTGACGATAAGCAAGGTTTTGCCAGGCGAGGGGACTCCAAGAAGTAGGCAGTGTGGTTTCTGCCCTTCAGAAACTCCAGGCTAACAGAGGAGGCCAGTTTCGCACGGGAGGCTAGAGTTGTGTGGCTCTGTCCGTAGTGTGTGGCACTTCTGGGAAGGGGAGCTCGCTGAGGACAGGAGGAACCTTGTGGGGGTGCTGAACTGGACATCCATGTAGGAGCAGTGACAGAGATGCAGCGAGTGTAGTGGAAGCAGAGACGTTGTGGAGCCGGCCCCTCCCCACTCAGCCTCACAGTGGGCTCTGAGGGATCCAGGGGACTTATCCTCAAGGAGCCAAGGAGCCATGAGAACTTGAGAAGGAAGGGTTAGGAGATGCAGGGCCGGATGGGACCAACCAGGAGACGCCTCCCTTGGGGCTGGGACAGAAGGTCGGCCAAAGGATACATCGAGGCATCAGTTCCTGGGAGGACTGAGATGCCAAGGCTCTTCGGGAAGCCTTTTAGATGCCGCTTGGCTGGAGAGAGGGAGCAGCCGGAGGAGAGGCGGCAGCCATGTCTAAGAACAGTTCTGGGCTCATGTATGTTCTAGCAGGCTGGCCAGAGGAAGTGGCAATGGGTGGATCTGGTGAGCAGAGAACTTCCAGATCCCAGACTTACCTGCCCGCCTGCCATGGCCCTCGTAAATCAGGCGGCAGTAGTTGCTGGCATTTGCAGGGTAGGAGGGACTGGCCACAAGCGGTCCCCGTTTTGTGGGTTTCCGCCACCTTGGGACCCTTCAGCCATGTGTTTCTGGTTCTCTTTTTCTCTCTTCTTTGCCAGAGGAACTGGAAAGGGGACAAGAGAGCAGAGTGGGCCGAGTGATTCTCCACTTTCTTCCCCCGCAGACAAAAGTTACCGGATGTTATCCGTCCCTCCTCCCTCTCCATTACTCCTCCAGACCTCACACAGTCCCTGGCCTGCCACTAGCAGGAGCCTGGGAGGGCCGGGAGGAGGGACCTCGGGGCTTCTGTTTGGTGATCAGCCTCTTCTCCACCTCCCCACCTCCCTTCTAAAATGGCTCATGGACAGAGTAGAGTTGAGTGACAGAAGATACTCAAAGGACAGAAAATCAAACTTCCGAGATGTCGATCACAATGAGTCTGCCACTCTGGCCTTAGATATTTAGGTACGTATATGTTGATTTGAAGTGTAGAGAGAAAAAGGTGTTAAGCAGAGGGAGAGAAGTCCATTCTCTCAATAGACACAGTTTCTTTCTTTCTTTCTTTTCTTTTTATGAATCAAAAGGAAAGTTTATTAGAGAAAGGGAAAAGCAAAGACCAGAGAAAGCCTAGACAAGGGAAATAGCCCCGGGCGGGGAGTCCTGCACATATGTCATTATCGAGTTCCTGTGGGTTACTGTTTATTTATTTATTTATGTCTTATTTACTTATTTTAACTAATTTTTTTTTTTTTGGTGACGTTAACGAAATCCAGTAAGTTTCAGGTGTACAAGGTTCCCATGGCACAGCCGGTTCATTTGTTCATTGTTTGTCCCACACCCTCCTCTAGAATGTCAGCCTCACCTTGTTCAGTGCTGTGTCCTCTGTCTACAGCTGTGCCTGATCCGTAGCTGGGGGTCAATAAGTGTTTGTGGGTGCGTGGATGATATTTATGCTATACATTAGTGGATGTATGTCCCTTTGTATTCTTTCGAAAGGAAGCCTACCATTACAATTAAACCTGCAGGATAAATTCCTATAAATAGGATTAGCTCTTGTAATTCCTAGATGCGAACCGCTAGGACAAAAGAAATGTGCATTTCACAGGTTTTTGGATCTGGCGGGATCGCCCATCAGGAAGGGCGCGTCAGGTTAACGAGGGAGCTACTCGTTTCCTAGGCTCCAGGTTTCCCTGCCAACACTAGGCTTTCTTCGTATGCGCTCAGTTCTCTGCTAACCTGAGGGAGAGACCTGGTCCCTGGAGCAGAGGTGACAGTAGGCTGTGGTGCACTCAGGTGCACAGGGCACAGATGAGGGCCCTTCGAGCCCCAGCGGGGAGGACAGCCGTGAGGGTGGGTGTCTGAGAGGCTACTGAGCACTGGCGGTCCCAGAGCGAGGTGGCGAAAATGGGCACGGCCTCGGGGAGGCGTCTGGGGCTAGACTGGGGCTTGCGGTGGAGCCACTGAAGTACTTCGGCCTGCACGTGCTGTGCGGGGATCGGCTCTGGAAGATGCAGCTGTCGCGGGCGCAGCTGCAGACATCCTGCTGGATGGGTCTCGGGTCTCAGAGGGACCCTAGCTCCCTCAAAGAACTGGGCCTATGTCAACACTGGAAGAACGGACGGGAGGATAGAAATAATAGGAGGCAGGAGCTGGCATTGATTAGCTCTTCTTCCGTGCTGCGCCTTGAGCTGAGAAGAACTTAACACGTGAGGGGCAGGCACCCTGGTGAGCTCCATTTTCTAGAAGGGGAAATGGAGGCTCAGAGAAGGCTGATGACCTGCCTAAGAGTGTGCAGCAGGGAAGTGGCCGAGCTGGGCCTGGAGCTCAGGCTGTCTCAGCCTGGGACAGCGGAGCACTTGGGGAGAAGCCGGGGACGAGCCCGGCGCTCAGGGCTTTGGCACAGGACTTCCGGAACGTGGCAGGGGCCAGGCTCCTGCCTCGCAGGCAACTGGCCCAGTGTCTCCAGAAGACCTGTTGACAGACCAGAGCAGACTAGGGCAGCCCCTGCCAGCAGACGGTGTGAGTGGTTGGCAGGGGCCCCGGGTCACGTCTGCGGCTGGTCCCCACGGTGGGGGTCGGGTGGTGCAGCTTTTGGATTGGAGCGGGAGCTGAGCTGAGCCACCCACTCTTGTCCCTAAACTCCAGAAGTAGCTTCCTACGCCTCCCAGAGACAGATGCTCTGGTAGGAATAGTGAGATACCACCTCCGCCAGCAGCCGAGGGACAGCACCTGCCTTCGATTGAGGGAGGGGGAGCCCAGAGCTGTGAATGCCTGCCTCCCCACCTTCATCCTTGAGCCGACTTCTCCCCAGAAGGCGGGGACAGGTTAGGCCCCAGCTGGCCCCATTTTCATTTTAGGAGTTTAGGGTTCCTCTTCAGCTCTTTCTCTGTGAGTGACGTGGAAGGGGATTCTGGAAGCCGACCCAGCATGCCCTCCGCTTTCCACTGAAGCCTGGGTCAGAGTTTTCACGCCTGAAGAAGTAGCTGCTGCAGGACATTGTGGGGGTGGGGGCTGGCACTGATTGTCCTTGAGTGAGTGAGGGACACACATCAGTGAGCCTGAGCTCTGCTGTCTTCTCGTTTCCTTCTGTCCCCTTCCTCCCAGGCTCAGGTGGCCTTCCTCCAGGGAGAGAGGAAAGGGCAGGAGAATCTCAAGACAGACCTGGTGCGCCGGATCAAGATGTTGGAATACGCGCTGAAGCAAGAGAGGTGCGCCCAGGCGCCCCCGGCCCTGCCTTCTGAGAAGCCAGCCCCCCGTAGCGGGGTCGGGGGGCCGGCCACGCTCCCTCCACCGAGGGAGACTGGGGATCGGGTGTTCTCCCCATCACTGGTACTGTATGGTTCTAGGAGAAGGAACAGAATGAGACTAGTAGGTGGATTCAGGATAGACACTTGTGACAGTATTCATGATGGCAGTGGCCTGCTGCGTGCCAGACACCACCTATTCATAGTGTCTCGCCCCTTCCAGTAGCCAGATAAGTAAAGGTGAGGACTGCTCCGAGCACTCCTAGAGCTGGGATAGCAGCCGGTCTCCAGGCTCCAAAGAGTGGGCTCTTCACAGCACCATCTGCGGGGCCTCTTAATGTGGGGTGGGGGGCGGGAGGGGTCTCAGCTTCAGAGGTGGTAGAGTGGATTGGAGGGGCGGGACTTGGGATTTGGGATTCTCGAGGTGAGTGCTGGCCCTGCCTACTCTTCTGTCTCATTTGTTAATCATTTGCTCTTTTAGGGCCAAATATCATAAGTTGAAGTTTGGGACAGACCCGAACCAGGGGGAGAAGAAACCGGAACTGTCAGAACAAGGTACCCACCCTCAGACCCTCCCCACCTGCCCTTCCCAGCAAAACCGAATGTGCCGGAAGAGTGACGAGCCAGGCCACCTCCTTCCTTCGCTCCCTGGAAAGCAGAGTTGGCTGGGGGTCTGGGGGGCGGTGTCAAATCTGACTCTCAGTTCCCCTCCCCATAGGCTGCTCTGCCAAGTGCTGGGCCCCGGGGCTGATGGGGCCGTGGACGGTGGTGAAGCCCATTC